CATGCTCCCATGCACCCATGCACCCATGCACCCATGCTCCCATGCTCCCATGCTCCCATGCACCCAGGCACCCATGCTCCCATGCACCCATGCACCCATTCTTCCATGCTCCAATGCACCCATGCACCCATGCTCCCATGCTCCCATGCACCCATGCACCCATTCTCCCATGCTCCCATGCTCCCATGCTCCCATGCTCCCATGCACCCATGCTCCCATGCTCCCATGCACCCATGCACCCATGCACCCATGCTCCCATGCTCCCATGCTCCCATGCACCCATGCTCCCATGCACCCATGCTCCCATGCTCCCATGCACCCAGGCACCCATGCTCCCATGCACCCATGCACCCATTCTCCCATGCTCCCAAGCACCCATGCACCCATGCTCCCATGCTCCCATGCACCCATGCACCCATTCTCCCATGCTCCCATGCTCCCATGCTCCCATGCTCCCATGCACCCATGCTCCCATGCTCCCATGCACCCATGCACCCATGCACCCATGCTCCCATGCTCCCATGCTCCCATGCACCCATGCACCCATGCACCCATGCACCCATGCACCCAGACACCCATGCTCCCATGCTCCCATGCACCCATGTACCATGCACCCATGCTCCCATGCTCCCATGCTCCCATGCACCCATGCTCCCATGCTCCCATGCTGCCATGCTCCCATGCTCCCATGCTCCCATGCTCCCGTGCCCCCATGCTACCATGCTCCCATGCACCTATGCACCCATTCTACCATGCACCCATGCTCCCATGCTCCCATGCTCCCATGATCCCATGCACCCATGGACCCATGCTCCCATGGTCCCATGGTCCCATGCTCCCATGCACCCATGCTCCCATGCTCCCATGCACCCATGCACCCATGCTCCCATGCACCCATGTTCCCATGCTCCCATGCTCCCATGCTCCCATGCACCCATGCACCCATGCTGTGCTTCCATGCTCCCATGCACCCATGCTCCCATGAACCCATGCACCCATGCTCCCTCGCTCCCATGCACCCATGCACCCATGCTCCCATGCTCCCATGCTGCCATGATCCCATGCACCCATGCACCCATGCTCCCATGCTCCCATGCTCCCATGCACCCATGCACCCATGCTCCCATGCTCCCATGCACCCATGCACCCATGCACCCATGCTCCCATGCACCCATGTTCCCATGCTCCCATGCTCCCATGCTCCCATGCACCCATGCACCCATGCTATGCTTCCATGCTCCCATGCACCCATGCTCCCATGCACCCATGCACCCATGCTCCCTCGCTCCCATGCACCCATGCACCCATGCTCCCATGCTCCCATGCTGCCATGATCCCATGCACCCATGCACCCATGCTCCCATGCTCCCATGCTCCCATGCACCCATGCACCCATGCTCCCATGCTCCCATGCACCCATGCACCCATGCTCCCATGCTCCCATGCACCCATGCTCCCATTCTCCCATGCACACATGCTCCCATGCTCCCATGCTCCCATGCACCCATGCTCCCATGCTCCCATGCTCCTATGCTCCCATGCTCCCATGCTCCCATGCACCCATGCTCCCATGCACCCATGCACCCATGCTCCCTCGCTCCCATGCTCCCATGCCCCCATGCTCCCATGCTCCCATGCACCCATGCACCCCTGCTACCATGAACCCATGCTCCTATGCTCCCATGCACCCATGAACCCATGCTCCCATGCTCCCATGCTCCCATGTACCCATGCACCCATGCTCCCATTCTCCCATGCACCCATGCTCCCGTGCTCCCATGCTCCCATGCTCCCATGCTCCCTTGCTCCCATGCTCCCATGCTCCCATGCACCCATGCTCCCATGCTCCCATGCTCCCATGCTCCCATGCACCCATGCACCCATGCTCCCATGCTCCCATGCTCCCATGCTCCCATGCACCCATGCTCCCATGCACCCATGCTCCCATGCACCCATGCTCCCATGCACCCATGCTCCCATGCTCCCATGCACCCATGCTCCTATGCACCCATGCTCCCATGCTCCCATGCTCCCATGCACCCATGCTCCCATGCTCCCATGCTCCCATGCACCCATGCTTCCATGCACCCATGCTCCCATGCTCCCATGCACCCATGCTCCCATGCACCCATGCTCCCATGCTCCCATGCTCCCATGCTCCCATGATCCCATGCTCCCATGATCCCATGCTCCCATGGTCCCATGCTCCCATGCTCCCATGCTCCCATCCTCACATGCTCCCATGCACCCATGCACCCATGCTCCCATGCTCCCATGCTCCCATGCACCCATGCTCCCATGCACCCATGCTCCCATGCACCCATGCTCCCATGCTCCCATGCTCCCATGCACCCATGCTCCCATGCACCCATGCTCCCATGCTCCCATGCTCCCATGCACCCATGCACCCATGCTCCCATGCTCCCATGCTCCCATGCACCCAGGCACCCATGCTCCCATGCACCCATGCACCCATTCTTCCATGCTCCCATGCACCCATGCACCCATGCTCCCATGCACCCATGCACCCATTCTCCCATGCTCCCATGCTCCCATGCTCCCATGCTCCCATGCACCCATGCTCCCATGCTCCCATGCACCCATGCACCCATGCACCCATGCTCCCATGCTCCCATGCTCCCATGCACCCATGCTCCCATGCACCCATGCTCCCATGCTCCCATGCTCCCATGCACCCATGTACCCATGCTCCCATGCTCCCATGCTCCCATGCACCCAGGCACCCATGCTCCCATGCACCCATGCACCCATTCTCCCATGCTCCCAAGCACCCATGCACCCATGCTCCCATGCTCCCATGCACCCATGCACCCATTCTCCCATGCTCCCATGCTCCCATGCTCCCATGCTCCCATGCACCCATGCTCCCATGCTCCCATGCACCCATGCACCCATGCACCCATGCTCCCATGCTCCCATGCTCCCATGCACCCATGCACCCATGCACCCATGCACCCATGCACCCATACACCCATGCTCCCATGCTCCCATGCACCCATGTACCATGCACCCATGCTCCCATGCTCCCATGCTCCCATGCACCCATGCACCCATGCTCCCATGCTCCCATGCTCCCATGCTCCCATGCTCCCATGCTCCCATGCTCCCATGCTCCCGTGCCCCCATGCTACCATGCTCCCATGCACCTATGCACCCATTCTACCATGCACCCATGCTCCCATGCTCCCATGCTCCCATGATCCCATGCACCCATGGACCCATGCTCCCAGGGTCCCATGGTCCTATGCTTCCATGCACCCATGCTGCCATGCACCCATGCACCCATGCTCCCATGCACCCATGTTCCCATGCTCCCATGCTCCCATGCTCCCATGCACCCATGCACCCATGCTATGCTTCCATGCTCCCATGCACCCATGCTCCCATGCACCCATGCACCCATGCTCCCTCGCTCCCATGCACCCATGCACCCATGCTCCCATGCTCCCATGCACCCATGCACCCATGCACCCATGCTCCCATGCTCCCATGCTCCCATGCACCCATGCACCCATGCTCCCATGCTCCCATGCTCTCATGTACCCATGCACCCATGCTCCCATGCTCCCATGCACCCATGCACCCATGCTCCCATGCTCCCATGCACCCATGCTCCCATTCTCCCATGCACACATGCTCCCATGCTCCCATGCTCCCGTGCACCCATGCTCCCATGCTCCCATGCTCCTATGCTCCCATGCTCCCATGCTCCCATGCACCCATGCTCCCATGCTCCCATGCACCCATGCTCCCATTCTCCCATGCACACATGCTCCCATGCTCCCATGCTCCCGTGCACCCATGCTCCCTCGCTCCCATGATCCCATGCCCCCATGCTCCCATGCTCCCATGCACCCATGCACCCCTGCTACCATGAACCCATGCTCCTACGCTCCCATGCACCCATGAACCCATGCTCCCATGCTCCCATGCTCCCATGTACCCATGCACCCATGCTCCCATTCTCCCATGCACCCATGCTCCCGTGCTCCCATGCTCCCATTCTCCCATGCTCCCATGCTCCCATGCTCCCATGCTCCCATGCTCCCATGCTCCCATGCTCCCATGCTCCCATGCACCCATGCTCCCATGCTCCCATGCTCCCATGCTCCCATGCTCCCATGCACCCATGCACCCATGCTCCCATGCTCCCATGCTCCCATGCTCCCATGCACCCATGCTCCCATGCACCCATGCTCCCATGCACCCATGCTCCCATGCACCCATGCTCCCATGCTCCCATGCTCCCATGCTCCCATGCTCCCATGCACCCATGCACCCATGCTCCCATGCTCCCATGCACCCATGCACCCATGCTCCCATGCTCCCATGCACCCATGCACCCATGCTCCCATGCTCCCATGCTGCCATGCTCCCATGCACCCATGCTCCCATGCTCCCATGCTCCCATCCACACACATGCACCCATGATCCCATGCTCCCAAGCACCCATGCACCCATGCTCCCATGCTCCAATGCACCCATGCACCCATGCTCCCATGCTCCCATGCACCCATGCTCCCATGCTCCCATGCTTGCATATCCATGTCTCGCCTCGCCTCAGCTGCTCGTCCTGCCTCAGCGCCTCCATCAGGTCATGCCACGAGCCACCCACGTCACCCACCCACTTTCCACCTCTTCCTGTTATCGATTTCCCAAACAAGGGTGGAAACGAGGGGGGGGGAGGAGGGGGGGGGGAGAAACGAGAGAAGGAAAGAGGAACGGAGGGAGGAAAAAGAGGAAAGGGGGGAAGACGGGGGGGAAGAGGGGGGGCGGGGGGGGAGATGGTGGGGGGAGAAGGAAGGGGATGGGGGAGGGGAAAAGGAGGTCCGAGGAGGCAGATGGGAAGGACTGAGAAGCAGGTAGAGACGGGGGAAACGCGAACAGGTGTGTATGGGAGAGAGTGAATGAAAGAAAGAATGCGGCCCTGCAATTCCACCGGCATACCCCTACGCTGCCCCACAGCTCGCCTCCGTTGCTCATCCTATCCCCACTCTCCCGTCACCCTGTCTGCATCTCTGATGCTCACAGGTGAAAGGGAACACGAAGCAAGAGTGGACAAGGGAAATGGGAGAGTTGCACAGGTACGGATAACTGAGAGCGAATAAGTAGAGGAAGGAGTTGGGGTGGAAGGGGGGGCGAAGGGGACAGGGGAGAGAAGGTACGGAGAAAGGTGCATGATTTTCTGGGGTGAAGCTGTGGCGGGTGGAGACGGGGAGAAGGAGGGGAGAAAGGGAGAGCGGCGGTCGCACCTCACAAGCAATGTACGTGTGAGGAGGGAGTGCCATGGGGAGTGTGAGGAGGGAGTGCCATGGGGAGTGTGAGGAGGGAGTTCCATGGGGAGTGTGAGGAGGGAGTGCCATGGGGAGTGTGAGGAGGGAGTGACATGGGGAGTGTGAGGAGGGAGTGCCATGGGGAGTGTGAGGAGGGAGTGCCATGGGGAGTGTGAGGAGGGAGTGCCATGGGGAGTGTGAGGAGGGAGTGCCATGGGGAGTGTGAGGAGGGAGTGCCATGGGGAGTGTGAGGAGGGAGTGCCATGGGGAGTGTGAGGAGGGAGTGCCATGGGGAGTGTGAGGAGGGAGTGCCATGGGGAGTGTGAGGAGGGAGTGCCATGGGGAGTGTGAGGAGGGCGTGCCATGGGGAGTGTGAGGAGGGAGTGCCATGGGGAGTGTGAGGAGGGAGTGCCATGGGGAGTGTGAGGAGGGAGTGCCATGGGGAGTGTGAGGAGGGAGTGCCATGGGGAGTGTGAGGAGGGAGTGCCATGGGGAGTGTGAGGAGGGAGTGCCATGGGGAGTGTGAGGAGGGAGTGCTATGGGGAGTGTGAGGAGGGCGTGCCATGGGGAGTGTGAGGAGGGAGTGCCATGGGGAGTGTGAGGAGGGCGTGCCATGGGGAGTGTGAGGAGGGCGTGCCATGGGGAGTGTGAGGAGGGAGTGCCATTGGGAGTGTGAGGAGGGAGTCCCATGGGGAGTGTGAGGAGGGCGTGCCATGGGGAGTGTGAGGAGGGCGTGCCATGGGGAGTGTGAGGAGGGAGTGCCATGGGGAGTGTGAGGAGGGAGTGCCATGGGGAGTGTGAGGAGGGCGTGCCATGGGGAGTGTGAGGAGGGCGTGCCATGGGGCGTATAGCATCCATCCGTCCCAAGGCACTCCCTCCCGCCGCGATTCAGCTCGAGCTGCAGATGAACAGCACGTGGGCAGCAGCAGCAGAGGCGGAGGCGATGGCAGCAGCAGCACCTCGACCCTTACTTCTGCCACCTGCTGCCTGCCCCTTCCGCCACGCAGCCAGTCTCCCTCCCTGACCTCGCTGCAGCATGCTCCCACGCCCACGCCTCACAATGCGCGGCTGTCCCGCCTGCTTGCGCTCGCTCTGCTCTGCTCTGCTCTTCCCGTCTGTCTAGCCCAACCAACCTTCGCTTCGCCAGCCTCTCGTCAGCTCCAGTCACTGCATCACTCTCGACCTTGCTGCCCTGCACCCCGCGTCAGCATGCAGCCGCAGCCGGCGCTTCGGCTGCTGCTGGTGCTGTTGCCTCAACGACTCCTTTGACTGGGTCTCTCCGATCCCTTGGCTCCTGTCCTGTCCGCCATGCACCTGCCACACCCGCATCTGAACCTGCGTCTACCCCTGTCCCGGGTCTCAACTTGTCCCCGTGCTTCCACCCGCCGCTGCCTCCTTGCATCTGCCCCACCTGCTGCAGCACGTAGCTGCGCTGCACCTTCGTTGGCCTCTCGTCAGCACCAATCTTGCCTGCACCCAGCATCGCTTCGGCTGCTGCTGTTGCTGCTGCTGCTTCTGCCTCAACGAGTCCTTGAATTGCGTCCCTCCGCTCTGATCCCTCGATCCGTGCCCCCTGTGCACCCACCCCTGCGTCTATCCCTGTCCAGGCTCTGAACTTGTCCCTGTGCTATCACCCGCCACTGCCTCCTTGCATCTGCCCCACCTGACCTGCTGCAGCACGTAGCTTTGCTGCACCTTTCGTTGGCCTCTCGTCAGCTCCAAGCACTTGGGCTGCGTCAACGAGTGCCTAGGATCCCTCCCATCCCTTGGCTACTGCCAGCCATACACCTGCCTGCCACGCCACTGCCGACGCACACGGGCATGGCAATGGGGAAGCGCAATGGGAAGAGGGAAAGGAACATAGGGGGGGTTCAGGAGGGGGAGCGGGGTGTGTGGGGGGGAGGGGGGAGGGCCTGGGGTGTGGGGGAGGGGAACAGATCCCCACCGTTCGTGTCGCGAGAGGAGGCGGAGGGGAGACTGGAAAGGGAAATGAAGGGCGAGAGAGTCCTGTTGACGCGGTCGCATTTGGTCAACTCACTATTGCCATTGCAGGTTATCTTGCCAATATTGCCATTCGCCTATTCACCTGCCGCAATATAGCTCGCTTCGGATTGGAAACCGCTTCCCCCTTCGTCTGCGCTTTCACGAACCCAGCAATAAACCCCCTCCCCGCTCCCGCCTCGCCTTCTCCTGCCATCGACTACGCTACCCTACTCGCTCCTGAGCATGCTGCTGCTCTCTCTATGCCGTCAACCCGCGAACGCCACGGCCCTGCCCCGTGCTGCTCATTAATGCGGACAGAAGAGGTGACACACTCCCACGGTACTGATCTGCATGGAATCCGGCGTGTGTAGCTTTCGCAAATGCGAAGCGTCGCATGACGCCAAAACATTTCATGTCGGAGGCGATCGCAAGCGGTGCAGTGGTAGCTCAAGGGACACTCCCTGCATCGTTTCAAGCCTGAACCTTCTATGGAGCACATTAAACGGGGCGCCGCTATTGCTAGATACGCGCAGGCAGAAAATTTTCTTCCAGCAGGCAGAACTGATCCGAAACAACCCGTCTCAGCGTTCTCCTCTGCTCTCGCCTAGGTCGCCTTGAGGAGCCACTACTTGAGCAGAAAGATAAGTACAATCCATCCACCCAACACTCGTGGTTTCCTCGTTGGAGGCTTTAGAAGTAGGATCTGCTGTGCATAGTCGGACTACTTTTGAGGCGCCTAAGAATTAGACGCTATGCTTCACTGTCGCTCCTACCAGGTTTAGTCGTCGTGATGGGTGCTTTGAGCAATCGGCTCGGCGCGCTTATGCTCTTACTGCCGACGTGTCTCGCCGCAGTCCGCAGTGTGACTATACCCCTCCCAAGGTCCGTGTAGTGCTTTCCTTTCGCCATGTCACGCCGCCGTTTCATGTCACGCCGTCAACTCGCCATGTCACACCGTCACGTCATTTCGTCGCGTCGCGCTGCGATGTCGCCATGTCACGCCGCCAAATCACATCTCACTTGTGGGAGCATGTGTGCGCCGTATGGGCCGGCTCCGCTCCGCATGCTCAGTCAAAAGATCGAGCGCCATATCGCCGTTTCAAGCGCCGTGTCGTGCGCTGCGACAACCGGCGGATCTCAATTGATGTTGCCCGTTCCGGTGTCCCGCAAAACACGCCTTGGCTGAAAAAGACGATGCCGCCACACGCAGCTCAGAGGAGTTGCCGATACTATGCACTACGCACGAGATGATCCGCAATGCAAGCAAAGCCATTGGCGATCAACAGGTTTAGAAGTTGAAGACCTGGGGGAGCGACTCGTTTTAAATAAGGAACTTGATGGGTTTGAATGCTGTGCGTCGCATCGCCACCGGGACACGATGCGCCGTGTTTTCCCAAGTGACACTTTGCAGCAACGAGCTGGGGTACAGCCTAGCCTGGGAACCTTGATGCCCCGCGTTTCCCCCCATTGGCGCGCTGCTGATCGCGCGTGATATGGGCTGGAAGCGGACGTGCGACGGTGATGCCTGGCAACGGGGACCGGCTAGGGACTGGGATGGTGAGATCTGCGAGAAAAAAATCTCGAGAATGAATGAACGTACGCGAGGTGAACGTAGTGCGTGGCATGCCTCCTTCCTGCCCTCTCCCGTTCATCCGCGTTATTCCTCTCTCTTGCGTCTCATCCCTTTCAGTGCTACTCTGTTTATCAACTCCCGAAATCTTGCGGCCCTGTCTCCCTTGCCTTCAAATTCATTAGTTTTTTTTCTCTTTCAAGTATGTCTCCTCTTGTACATAGAGCTGCCATTTGGCACGCCTGCCTGCCACATCAACTCCGCACACCAGATAGGCGCAACCAGTTCTACTGAGTGGTTGTGCAGTCCACGGCTGCACCTCTTCTCCTGGTTCCGTTTCCTGCCCCATTTTTCAAATGTCTTCAAGTCTCTCTACTAACGAGCCCTGCTCCTCATCCTTCACGCCTGCTTTACTCCAACTGTACCTCCAAATTCCAGATTGCTTACCGCTCTGCCGGTCCAGTCTTTTCATCTCGCGCCTCTACCTTCCGATCTGCTCCTCTCCTCTCTAGTGGCTGTTATCATATGAGAGATCTAAAACGGATCTCCGACCCCCCCATCGCCTTGTCCCCCGTCCCCTGCTTTACCTTTCTCCCCCATCCACCCCCTTCCCTTCACTTCACCCGCTTTCAGTTTCTCACCTCAACCCTCGCTTGGTTCTCCCAGACCCCTCCCCTCACTCTCTGAGCTGCTTCTCCTTCCGTCTTCCCCTGCTTCATCCCTCCTGCCAATACTCCCTACCGCTGCCGCTCATCATCCCCTATACACCAGGGTGGCAGGGTCCGATAATGGAGTGGAATATACAGCACGAGCCACCATCTCCTGCTCTGCAGCCCGCCTGCACTCCTGCTCCTCCTCTACCTCTCAAACTAGCCCTTCAGCATGCTAGGGCTTTCATGTGCGCCTCACCTGCGTTCTTCCCCAAGTTTCAGTCAGACGGGGAGAGGTTTGGGGATGATTGGGTGTGGGTAGTGGCGGAGAGAGGCGAGGTGGTGGCATGGACTTGCAGGAAGCGAAGCGTGCAGCTCTGTACTGCACTGCATGGGTACATATGAATGAGACATCCTAGGCATGAGCATGGCTGCATGGGCCAGGCCGTGACCCAAGTCAGAATGAGATTTTGATCCGTCAGCGCGTGTCGCGCTGGGCCAGGCAGGGCTGGCGCTCCGGGCCGGATGTGGGCCGAGTTGCAGTCCAAGGTTTCAGTATCGGGCTGGGCCGTTCCAAATCATGACCGGGGTCAGCTGGTCGGTGATGCGCGTGACCTGAGCCTCGCAAGCCACATTTTGTGGGCGCTACAACGGGGGGTGTGTGTGGGTGCGGCAAGGAGGGAGTGTGGGCGCGAATTGGGGGGGTGTGCGGACGGGAGCATGGGGTATTTGCCGGCACGATCAGGGGGGAGTGCATGCGCGAGCTTGGGGGCTGTGGGCGCGAGAAGGGAGGCCGGGCAGGCCGTGCGGCGACCAACTTGGCCTTTAATTCCGGTCTGCGGGCCAAAAATTTAGCGAGCTGGCCCAAGCCAGGCTGACACAAGCCCGGCTCCCCTATGAGGCTGGCCCGTCCCATCCCAACCCGGGCCAGTCCGGGCCCGAGCCTCGGCCCATGAGCATGCCGTTTACATCAACGTTCACAATGGCGATAGACTGTTGCTGTTGGGTGGCCCCACCTACAGATACATTTCTAGTTACAGGTAGGTATTGTGGTCATTCACTAGTATGTATGCCATATCCCATGTATAGAGTAGAAAATTGATTTGCTGCTGCTTTGTGCTTATCCCTCTCCCTCCCTCACATCCTTACTTCGCATCCTTCTCCCTCTCACACCCAGCTAATGTGCCTCGGTGCGAACGGTGTATATGTGTGCTTATGCATGCGTTTCTTGCCATCCTGCTTCCCTTTCCCTCCCCAACCCCCCCTCCCCCCCCCCACGCACATCTCGCTTTCCCGCCCTTCATTCCCGCACTCCCTCCCCTCGCTCAAGCAGCTGCTGCCCGCTGATGCTGACAGCATGTTTGTGGGCACGTGGCACGACCTGACGGAACAGGAAGAGCAGCTAAGGCGGCAAGCGACACCACGAGCATCTTTCGGAGGAATATCAGTGCAACATTTGCGCCTGCATACATGGTGAGAGCGGGGTGGGTGGGTGGATGGGTGAGGCCGATGTGTGCATGTGCACCATGTGTTTGTATGTGTGCATGTGCACCATGTGTTTGTATGTGTGCATGTGCACCATGTGTTTGTATGTGTGCATGTGCACCATGTGTTTGTATGTGTGCATGTGGACCATGTGTTTGTATGTGTGCATG